TTCTAAAACTTTTTTTTTTTTTGTTTAGACAGAGTTTTTATGTCTATAAAATACTTTTATATGAATAAGTCTTTGGATACAATCAGGAAAAGTGTCAGAGGTTCATGAACCAAGAGGAAACATTGTCAGTGGTCTCAGTAAATGTTGTAAATAGAATCCTGGTTTCTCTCTCTCTCTCTCTCTCTCTCTCTCTCTCTCTCTCTCTCTCTCTCTCTCTCTCTCTCTCTCTCTCTCTCTCTCTCTCTCTCTCTCTCTCTCTCTCTCTCTCTCTCTCTCTCTCTCTCTCTCTCCTCTCCCTCCCTCTCCTCTCTCTCTCTCTCCTCCCTCCTCCCTCCCTCCCCCCTCCCTCCCTCCCTCCCTCCCTCCCTCCCTCCCTCCCTCCCTCTCCCCTCTCCCCTCTCCCCTTTCCCTTTCATTCCTCTTTCCCCCTCTCACACCGTCTATCCCATCACCCCACCCCCTTTTATTGTATTCTTCCTGTTACCTTTATTTAAACCAGAAGCTTCTTTATAAACCTGATTTGCCAATGCAGTGATATAAATATATGTTTTTTCATATGAAATCACTTTTTCATAAACAAATAATCCAATTCATTCAGACTTATAGAGTAAAATTTTAGATTACTGGTTTTGTGTCTTCTGTGTCTATGTATATATATGTACATAACATATAATGTAAAGTGGCACCCTCAGATTTGTACAACATTGTTTACTCTACCCTGCCTGGAAAGCATGTTAGTGTACATACTGATCAGGATGAATCATACCCAGTGATGATAGTGTGTTTTATAAGGTTTCATTAGATTTCATCTGCACATTCTGAATTTTTCTCATTCTCATATTTTGGAAGGTATAATTTGGTGTTTGATTTTGAGGTTTAACAGTTGATAAATGTTTTAGTATTGACAAGTTGATTATGTTATGAGATATAGTTCAGGATTGTTAAAGTTTGCTTTTTTCCTAATTTATTTTTACTTTACATTTTTCCATGTTACTGATATTTCACACATTTATACTTGTTTTTTGTAAGTTCTGTTTAATGTTTTTCAAATTCTCTGGCACCAGAAACTGCGGGCAGATTCGCATATGTGTGTGTTTTGTGTCTATGTTTGTTAGTTGGTATGTGTGTGTGTGTGTGTGTTTTTCTGTCTTTCTGTCAGACCGTGTCTGTTTGTAAAAAAAAAAAGGTATTAAGGTTGTGTTGAAAGATGAAATTGCTTTGATTTTTTTCTTTTTTTATTATTGGGCTTTTAACATGATCCGGTGCTTCACAACTCATATAGCATAGCTAAAATGTACTTACAAAATGTAGTATCTTTATAAAGGGAGACACAAAATTGGTATAGTCTCTTGGTTTTACAGTTGTACTGACTTCACTTGATAAATATCAGGACCTCTATGGTAACATTTTTTTTTTTTCTTTCTCTAAAATGAAGAATAAAGATAAGAATAAAATGTGAAAGATTTTTTAAACAAAAATGAACCTTTGGGTATCTATGATCTTTGTTATAGCTTATATGGAAAAAAGTGTCAGATAAAGAATTTTTTTACGTTACCTGCCTATTTTTATGGTGATTATTCTCATCAGAATTTAATAGAACTACAGTTTCTAATTTCATTTTCAATTGTGAGTTTAACACATCATTATTATTTATTAATTTAGATTTTTAGGGAAAACAACAGTTGCTGCAAAGGAGATGTGAGAACTTCAAGGCTTACTAATGAAGGTAAAATAAAATATATGACAATTATGCTTCAAGTTGATCCCATGAGTATCTTCTGGTCTTTCAACCACTGCTTCAACATCAAAAGATTATGGGGAATGAATGCTCAGGAAGAGAGGAATATCACATGAAAATCAGAATGAAAGAAAGGTAAGAAATACAAGAGCAAAATTTGAAGTGAAACTAGGGAAAAAAGTAGACTTTTATGAACATTGAAAGAATAAATCTACAGAATTGTCCAAGGCTGAGAGTGTAATGGGTGCTGTGTGCAAGACATTGTCATAATTTTTAGTGGACAGGGAAAATGCATTTCGTTTGCATCCATCATTACCAAAACATGGAGGGAAAATACTAATTTTGTTGAAAAATTTCTTCCTGGTCACCTGCACATACAATAATTTGAGGTCATTCAGGCCCGTTATTTGTAGAGTGGTCATTGTGTGTAATCTTTTGGACATTTTAGTAATTTTACAGCATATTTTGTTGACATGAAAAAAAGTAAAATATGATTTTTCAGTTTGATGTATTAGGAGCTAAATTTCTTTTGCTGATTTGTAATTGCACAAACACTTTTCTTGTATTTTTTTCTAGATTTGCTTGGATATTACTATAGTCTGTGTAGATTACACATAAGCTTTGATATTTTGTGTTCACAGAAAAATATTTTAAGAGAGATTTCTCATTAATATGCACGTTGATAATTACATAAATACTCAAGGCCCTACAATCATTCAAAGCTATGATTTTCTGCACAAAATGATAATATGGTTTCTCTTC